TATATTCTATTGCCCTACACCAACCCTACCCCTAAACCTACCCCTCACAGGAGACTTTCTGCATTTTTAGATTTTCAAAAAACTTAATTCTGTGGGATTTATTAGCTTGTTTACCCGTGGGGACCACAATTTAGGTCCCCACTGTGACACGAGTCCTCATGAGTCTGTGTGTATTCAGGTTTAAGTCCCCACCAGAATAGAAAAACGGGTACACACACACACTCAGCGAGCACAGTCTGTCTTACACACTCGCACAGACATAATTATGCACAAAAATACCACAGAAAGAAAGTTAGTCAATATCACACGTAGAGTGCCAGTTTTCACTTCTAAAAATCAACATGATTACAAATGTGATACTGATTTTATACAACAGTTCAATAAACAAGAAGTTAATATTAAGAGACTTACGTTTTAGACGCCATATTGCCTGTAGTGCTCTATTTTACCAACAAAAATAACTCCAAACACAGCCACAGCACTGTTTTGAGTCTCTGTGCAACATGGTGTTTCGTTCCTGAATGAATCAAGCATGAATCAAGCGTTTAAATGAGTCGGTTCAATAACAATGAATCACTTATTAACAGTGACTTGCTGCCACCTGCTGGCGGTTTTAATTTCACATTTAAAGTATCTTTTCATTTTTTTTTTATAATTTCAAATATCAGTATTCAACGTTTTAATATATCAAAACATTATTTATGCACGTGTAACTGCAGGTTGAATGCATTCATGTCCTGCATTAAACCGTGTGTAAACACATCTAAACACCTCTTCAGATGCAGCTGCTGTGTTTCCTCTGTGCTGCAAAGATTAATTTTATTGATACTGATTTAATTTGCTCTGTAACAGCCCAAATGTCTTATTCTAATTCACTGATGAAATGTAAGAATTTGACTCAAAAGATGATGTACACTTTTAGAAAAAAATGGCTTTATAAAGGTAAAGATGGCCATAAAATGTAAAAATCAATTTAAACTTATTGTAAAAGATTAATTTCTGTCAGTGCTGTGAATGGACTGATGATAAAGAATATCAAACACTTTAGAGTCAGCTGTCCACGGCAGTCCTTAAGATATCAGCACAATAACACACTCAGAAAAATATTGTCTGATTATCGTTATCAATAAAATCCCAGAAATGATTGTGATTTATTTTTTGCCAATATCGCACACCCTAGATGTGTCTGATGTTAATTGTGCTGCAGTTTCCCCTCCGGTGCGCTGCTGTCAGCCATAGACGACTGGAAGAAACACATGTGCGACGCTGAAGACAAAATCAACAGGACGCAGGTGAGCTTCCTTCTGTTGCCAGAGACCGCTTGCTGTGTGTTGAGACGGAGCCCAATCCATTCTGCTTAACGAGCTCTGAATTTCTCTGTGTTCTTTCAGATGGAGTTTGAGGCTCAGATGGATGAGGTGAAGAGCGGCACCAGACTCTGTTCACTGCCTGATATCTGCGTTCCCAGCGTCCCCGCAGCACCCGCTCTACCGGTGAGAGCTGCCGCTCACTCTGTGGGTCACGTGAAAGTCAAGGGTCATCACGCGTCTTCTGATCAGTGTTTGTGTCCTGCAGGCCATGCTTCCTCCTCCGGTTCCTCAGTTCTACGGGCCGTACGTGTCACTTCCTCCCGGCCGCACAGGACGCAGCACACCGACAGACCGACTTCCCGAAGGGCCCCCAGCGCCGCCACACCTCACCGTGTACGAGCGGATCCTGGAGCGACTCCACATGATGTTCCCTCATTACAACAGGTGCTGCTTCAACACAACACAACACAGAGACCAGCAGCAGCAGCAGTGTCAGGCACGCTTCTGAGAGAAAACACTCTGCTCAGCGCTGCTGCACATCACAGCAAAAATCTGAAATATTATTACAATCTAAAACCGCTGTTCTCTGATCTTCAGAAATCAGTATAATATGCTGCTTTACTGCTCAAGAAACATTTCTGATTATTATCAATGTTGAAAACAGTCGTGCTGCACAATATTTTTGTGGAAACTGTGATGCATTTTATTTTTCAGGATTCACAGATGAATAGAAAGTTCAAAAGAACAGCATTTATTTAAAATAGAAATCTTTTGTAACATCATAAATGTCTTTACTGTCACTTTTGATCAATTTAATGCACCCTTGATGAATACAAATATTCTTTTTTTTATATCTTAGCCCAAACTTTTTGAAACTTAATGAAGCAGCACAACTGTTTTCAACATTGATGATAAAGAAATGTTTCTCGAGCAGCAGATCAGCATATTATACTGATTTCTGAAGATCATGTGACACTGAAGACTGGAGGAATGATGCTGAAAATACAGCTGCGCATCACAGAAATACATTACAGCTTAAAGGGGGGGGTCTAATGCTATTTCATGCATTTTGAGTTATTTACACTGGTAAAGAGCTGTAATCTCATGCTAAACATAGCCAAAGTTTCAAAAAACGTTTTGGATGTAGAATGGAGTATTTCTGTGCCAAATAAACTCCTCAGGGTTTCGTACAAGTTTCAGAGAGTTTTTTTTGAGCATAGCTGTTCATGACGTCATGAAGGGTGGAACCCAGCGTTACGTGAACAGTGGATGCAGTTTGTTTTCAGGGGCAGCAAAATAGTTTTGCAAGTGTGTTGGCCAACGTTTTATAAACAAGGCCCAGTTCGACGCTGGATTTGCACAACGTTTGATACCAAAAGATGGAACGGTCCCAGCTATTAAAGATCCCGGTCATGATTCTGTGTTGCTGGCAGTCGGCGCTCAAGTGCTCGTCACTCTTTAGCTCCGCCCACGACACGCCCCCAGGAGTTTTCGGAGAGAATCGTAATGCTGTATCTTTCTTTTATAAATATGATAAAACTAAAGATTCTTTGGAGATATGAAGGATGCAGTACTACTCTATAGGTACTCAAGATTAACACGAGATTGGGTGAAACTGTTATGTCTCCTTTAACATAGAAAACAGCTATTTTAATTTCTAGTAATATTTCACTGTTTTTACTGTGTTAGTATAAATGCAGCTTTGCTGAGCAGAAGAGATTCTTTCAGAAACCGTGTGTAAACACATCTAAACACCTCTTCAGATGCAGCTGCTGTGTTTCCTCTGTGCTGCAAAGATTAATTTTATTGATACTGATTTAATTTGCTCTGTAACAGCCCAAATGTCTTATTCTAATTCACTGATGAAATGTAAGAATTTGACTCAAAAGATGATGTACACTTTTAGAAAAAAATGGCTTTATAAAGGTAAAGATGGCCATAAAATGTAAAAATCAATTTAAACTTATTGTAAAAGATTAATTTCTGTCAGTGCTGTGAATGGACTGATGATAAAGAATATCAAACACTTTAGAGTCAGCTGTCCACGGCAGTCCTTAAGATATCAGCACAATAACACACTCAGAAAAATATTGTCTGATTATCGTTATCAATAAAATCCCAGAAATGATTGTGATTTATTTTTTGCCAATATCGCACACCCTAGATGTGTCTGATGTTAATTGTGCTGCAGTTTCCCCTCCGGTGCGCTGCTGTCAGCCATAGACGACTGGAAGAAACACATGTGCGACGCTGAAGACAAAATCAACAGGACGCAGGTGAGCTTCCTTCTGTTGCCAGAGACCGCTTGCTGTGTGTTGAGACGGAGCCCAATCCATTCTGCTTAACGAGCTCTGAATTTCTCTGTGTTCTTTCAGATGGAGTTTGAGGCTCAGATGGATGAGGTGAAGAGCGGCACCAGACTCTGTTCACTGCCTGATATCTGCGTTCCCAGCGTCCCCGCAGCACCCGCTCTACCGGTGAGAGCTGCCGCTCACTCTGTGGGTCACGTGAAAGTCAAGGGTCATCACGCGTCTTCTGATCAGTGTTTGTGTCCTGCAGGCCATGCTTCCTCCTCCGGTTCCTCAGTTCTACGGGCCGTACGTGTCACTTCCTCCCGGCCGCACAGGACGCAGCACACCGACAGACCGACTTCCCGAAGGGCCCCCAGCGCCGCCACACCTCACCGTGTACGAGCGGATCCTGGAGCGACTCCACATGATGTTCCCTCATTACAACAGGTGCTGCTTCAACACAACACAACACAGAGACCAGCAGCAGCAGCAGTGTCAGGCACGCTTCTGAGAGAAAACACTCTGCTCAGCGCTGCTGCACATCACAGCAAAAATCTGAAATATTATTACAATCTAAAACCGCTGTTCTCTATGTGAATTTCTGTTAAACTGTAATGTATTTCTGTGATTTTCAGCATCATTACACCAGTCTTCAGTGTCACATGATCTTCAGAAATCAGTATAATATGCTGCTTTACTGCTCAAGAAACATTTCTGATTATTATCAATGTTGAAAACAGTCGTGCTGCACAATATTTTTGTGGAAACTGTGATGCATTTTATTTTTCAGGATTCACAGATGAATAGAAAGTTCAAAAGAACAGCATTTATTTAAAATAGAAATCTTTTGTAACATCATAAATGTCTTTACTGTCACTTTTGATCAATTTAATGCACCCTTGATGAATACAAATATTCTTTTTTTTATATCTTAGCCCAAACTTTTTGAAACTTAATGAAGCAGCACAACTGTTTTCAACATTGATGATAAAGAAATGTTTCTCGAGCAGCAGATCAGCATATTATACTGATTTCTGAAGATCATGTGACACTGAAGACTGGAGGAATGATGCTGAAAATACAGCTGCGCATCACAGAAATACATTACAGCTTAAAGGGGGGGGTCTAATGCTATTTCATGCATTTTGAGTTATTTACACTGGTAAAGAGCTGTAATCTCATGCTAAACATAGCCAAAGTTTCAAAAAACGTTTTGGATGTAGAATGGAGTATTTCTGTGCCAAATAAACTCCTCAGGGTTTCGTACAAGTTTCAGAGAGTTTTTTTTGAGCATAGCTGTTCATGACGTCATGAAGGGTGGAACCCAGCGTTACGTGAACAGTGGATGCAGTTTGTTTTCAGGGGCAGCAAAATAGTTTTGCAAGTGTGTTGGCCAACGTTTTATAAACAAGGCCCAGTTCGACGCTGGATTTGCACAACGTTTGATACCAAAAGATGGAACGGTCCCAGCTATTAAAGATCCCGGTCATGATTCTGTGTTGCTGGCAGTCGGCGCTCAAGTGCTCGTCACTCTTTAGCTCCGCCCACGACACGCCCCCAGGAGTTTTCGGAGAGAATCGTAATGCTGTATCTTTCTTTTATAAATATGATAAAACTAAAGATTCTTTGGAGATATGAAGGATGCAGTACTACTCTATAGGTACTCAAGATTAACACGAGATTGGGTGAAACTGTTATGTCTCCTTTAACATAGAAAACAGCTATTTTAATTTCTAGTAATATTTCACTGTTTTTACTGTGTTAGTATAAATGCAGCTTTGCTGAGCAGAAGAGATTCTTTCAGAAACATGAATGAATGATAATTCCTCCAGTGGTCTGAGCGCTGGTGAGTTGGTGATCAGTGTGTTTGTGTGTAGGCGGGTTCTGAGCAAGTTCATCCAGGAGGTCCGTGTGTCCAGCGGAGGCGCTCTCAGCACGGTGACCTATGATGACGTCATCAACCGAGTGGCTCAGCTCATCCTGGACCATCAGGAGAACACGCGTGTGCGTAACCGTCTCGTGTGAGTGAGTGAGTGTGTGAGTGTGTGAGTGTGTGTGTGGAGTGACGAAGTGCTTCCTGTTGCAGGAGCAGATGAACCTCGCGGGTAGAGACGCTCTGGGTCATATGACTCCTCCGTCTGATGCCGCTGTCAGAGCCACCGGGCCGCCACTTACACATGTGTGGAAGAACGTGTCAGAGAAACATCGCAACACGGCGCTGGCGGTAACAATCACACACACACACGCTTTGTCACTGTGCTCGTCTAAAGGCTGTTCGATGACGAACGGTGCTTTCACTTCGATTGATCACTTTCTGCTAATTCACAGCTGCTCGCTAGGTAACGCTGACCAACCATGCATTTTTCCTCAGATGTGTATCTCGTATATGGATTTAACATCGTCCGCTGCTTAATATGCTGCATTCAATTTGGTTCTACACCAGAAACACAAACTATCTATAATGCTTACAAGAATACATCCTAAAATATAATTAGAGGTACAATTAGCATCAAGCTTCACTTGAAAATGTATGTCATTATTAATGGATTTGCTTATAACTAGTGCTGTCAAAAGATTAATCTTGCAAATGCAAAGCATGCAAAATAAAAGTTTTTGTTTACATAATATGTGTGTGTACTGTGTATATTTATGTATATATAAGTACACGCACATACAGTGTATATATATTGAAAATATATACATTTATATTATATATGTAAACATATTTTTCTTAAATATATACATGCATGTGTTTGTATGACTTCTGACGCGGCGAGTATAAACCAGGCTCTACACTCGAAGCGCTGCGCAGTTTAAACGAGAAGCGCGGTTTCGTTATGCTTTGTTTCGTTTGCTGTTTCTCATATGCTACAGAAATGGCAGCACAACGCGGTGGTTGCGCCAGTGTGACCGCTCACACAATTTAGTCGCACAGGCAGAAAAAATAGCAGTCTGGAGCCCTGGCTTAGGGATCTATTGTTTCGACTCAGAAGCATTGTTGCACCGAATTTTCGCATTCAGTGTGAAAAGGCGTTAAGTCTAACCTCACTGAGCATGTGAACATGTGTGTGCCTCAGCTGAACATGGAGGATCCGTGCATCATCTGTCACGAGGACATGAGTCCAGAGGAAGTGTGTGTCCTGGAGTGCCGCCACAGCTTCCACAGAGAGGTGAGGCTCTGCTCTCGTCTGCTGAGCGTCTGGTAGCTGTGGGATGTAGACTGATGCTCTGTGTGTGTGTTTCAGTGTATAAAGTCGTGGCTGAAGGAGCAGAGCACGTGTCCCACCTGTCGAGAGCACGCGCTGTTACCGGAGGACTTTCCCATGCTGCCCGGCAGACACCGCAGGAGCCACACGCCCGCCGCCGCCTTTAACTGACCCACTGTATGTTCATCTGCACCAGTCTTATCTTCATAATCACACACTCACAGTAATGACCCTTGTTTTGGGTGTCGGAAACTCTACGGACCAATCGGTGATGTTTACTTTCAGGGCACATTTGTGTTTTCATTCCTGTAATAAAGTTCATTACGTGAACTGGTTTTACTCTTCCACTTTTACCTTTGCTTGTCATTTTACCTTGAAATTTTACTTCATTAAAACATTTAACCAAAGAAGCGGTCTCCTGCTGTTGGTGTGTTTTAGACACTAGACGCTAGCTCGTGCCGTGTTTCTGCAGATCAGATTCAGACTGGGGGATAGCTGATAATAAATAATTGAAATCAATGTCAAACTAATATCATTTTGTGTGCAATTGATTCTAATATTTTTAGTACCATTATTTCTATAATTATAATACATTTAAAGGGGTCATATGATGCTTTTTTTAAAGATCATTATTTGGTGTAACAGAATATGTTGACATGCTTTAATGTTCAAAAAACCCTATCTTCCAAATACTGTACATTATTGTAGGTCCCCTATGCCCCGCCTCTCTCAAACGCTTCGTTTTCTACAAAGTCCCTCCTTCCGACAAGCGCAGTCTGCTCTGATTGGCCAGCTGACCCAGTGCATTGTGATTGGCCGAACACCGCAAGCACTCGTCGGAAATGTAACGCCCCTTACCATAATCGTTGCAGGAGCAGATGAACCTCGCGGGTAGAGACGCTCTGGGTCATATGACTCCTCCGTCTGATGCCGCTGTCAGAGCCACCGGGCCGCCACTTACACATGTGTGGAAGAACGTGTCAGAGAAACATCGCAACACGGCGCTGGCGGTAACAATCACACACACACACGCTTTGTCACTGTGCTCGTCTAAAGGCTGTTCGATGACGAACGGTGCTTTCACTTCGATTGATCACTTTCTGCTAATTCACAGCTGCTCGCTAGGTAACGCTGACCAACCATGCATTTTTCCTCAGATGTGTATCTCGTATATGGATTTAACATCGTCCGCTGCTTAATATGCTGCATTCAATTTGGTTCTACACCAGAAACACAAACTATCTATAATGCTTACAAGAATACATCCTAAAATATAATTAGAGGTACAATTAGCATCAAGCTTCACTTGAAAATGTATGTCATTATTAATGGATTTGCTTATAACTAGTGCTGTCAAAAGATTAATCTTGCAAATGCAAAGCATGCAAAATAAAAGTTTTTGTTTACATAATATGTGTGTGTACTGTGTATATTTATGTATATATAAGTACACGCACATACAGTGTATATATATTGAAAATATATACATTTATATTATATATGTAAACATATTTTTCTTAAATATATACATGCATGTGTTTGTATGACTTCTGACGCGGCGAGTATAAACCAGGCTCTACACTCGAAGCGCTGCGCAGTTTAAACGAGAAGCGCGGTTTCGTTATGCTTTGTTTCGTTTGCTGTTTCTCATATGCTACAGAAATGGCAGCACAACGCGGTGGTTGCGCCAGTGTGACCGCTCACACAATTTAGTCGCACAGGCAGAAAAAATAGCAGTCTGGAGCCCTGGCTTAGGGATCTATTGTTTCGACTCAGAAGCATTGTTGCACCGAATTTTCGCATTCAGTGTGAAAAGGCGTTAAGTCTAACCTCACTGAGCATGTGAACATGTGTGTGCCTCAGCTGAACATGGAGGATCCGTGCATCATCTGTCACGAGGACATGAGTCCAGAGGAAGTGTGTGTCCTGGAGTGCCGCCACAGCTTCCACAGAGAGGTGAGGCTCTGCTCTCGTCTGCTGAGCGTCTGGTAGCTGTGGGATGTAGACTGATGCTCTGTGTGTGTGTTTCAGTGTATAAAGTCGTGGCTGAAGGAGCAGAGCACGTGTCCCACCTGTCGAGAGCACGCGCTGTTACCGGAGGACTTTCCCATGCTGCCCGGCAGACACCGCAGGAGCCACACGCCCGCCGCCGCCTTTAACTGACCCACTGTATGTTCATCTGCACCAGTCTTATCTTCATAATCACACACTCACAGTAATGACCCTTGTTTTGGGTGTCGGAAACTCTACGGACCAATCGGTGATGTTTACTTTCAGGGCACATTTGTGTTTTCATTCCTGTAATAAAGTTCATTACGTGAACTGGTTTTACTCTTCCACTTTTACCTTTGCTTGTCATTTTACCTTGAAATTTTACTTCATTAAAACATTTAACCAAAGAAGCGGTCTCCTGCTGTTGGTGTGTTTTAGACACTAGACGCTAGCTCGTGCCGTGTTTCTGCAGATCAGATTCAGACTGGGGGATAGCTGATAATAAATAATTGAAATCAATGTCAAACTAATATCATTTTGTGTGCAATTGATTCTAATATTTTTAGTACCATTATTTCTATAATTATAATACATTTAAAGGGGTCATATGATGCTTTTTTTAAAGATCATTATTTGGTGTAACAGAATATGTTGACATGCTTTAATGTTCAAAAAACACTATCTTTCAAATACTGTACATTATTGTAGGTCCTCTATGCCCCGCCTCTCTCAAACGCTTCGTTTTCTACAAAGTCCCTCCTTCCGACAAGCGCAGTCTGCTCTGATTGGCCAGCTGACCCAGTGCATTGTGATTGGCCGAACACCGCAAGCACTCGTCGGAAATGTAACGCCCCTTACCATAATCACAGCTTCATCTTTCAAAATAAATGTAAAGACAGAGCCCGAAAGGGGAACAGAGTCTCGTGACAGACACAGTGATGAAGATGTGTGTTTGTGATGTAACCCTCTCTCTCTCTCGCTCTCACACACACACACACACACCGCTCTCTCTCTCTCTCTCTCTCTCTCTCACACACACACGGCGCGCACACACACACACACACACACACTCACACGATGCGCAAAACTCTGCATTTGAACAGTCAATAGCAAATACTCAAACTAATAACAAAACAGTAGCTGATTCAGAAGAGCCAGATTGTCATAGCAAAGTCAGAATGACCTCCTCATCTCCTCATCCTCCTCATTCATTTTATGGACGTTCACGAAACGTCCATAAAATGCATTGCTGTTCTGTTGTAAGTAATCTTAAAGATTCCTAAATGCATCTACTTCCGGAAGGCCAAATAAAGTGCTTTTGCTTTCG